CCAACGCTTTTTTTTTTGAATCGTACGCACCATCGCTTTGGTTGTGTGCACACGTACTTACGTACGTATACTACTATTAAGCCAAATCTAGTCGGCAGCAGATACATGCATTATTGCGAACAGATCTTTTTATCGTGTGATGATAATACTTCAACACATTAGGAGTACGTACTCCTACAAACTATGAATGACAAACAGGCCTGTCGCAATCAGCACTGATGTGCGGTGGAAGAATTGGACAAAGCTACGGGACCATTTACTTACCGGGAGGTAATATATCAAATAAGTCGAAGTCATTGACTTTTTAACATTTTAAGATAATTTTTAATTAATTTATTTACAATAGAAAAAAAAAACATTGCTTTGTGGCTCCTCAAGAAACTGTACTTACAATAGAAACTGTACTTACAAGTACCGGGTGACATCAGGGAGAGTGACGTGGTGTGGTGGACCAGTTTTGTCTTGGCGGCTACTGTTGCTATGACGACTACGGTAGTAGGTTTGGCCGTTTCGGTGTAGGAAGCTATTATGGACTTACGTGATGCATAGAGCTAATTATTAGCCATATAATTTTTACTCACTTTATTCTATAATATAGTGTATTTTAAAAATTTTAAAATAACTTATGAGAACACTGAAATGACGTATGTACCTATAGATTATATCCAATTAATAAGAAGTTTCTTCTCAAATTATGTTTTTTAACAAACATTTGCTAAATCTAGGCGGAGTTGTTACATAGAATGCACTATATATTTCAGTACAAATTTTAAAAGTCACACTACACTATATTTCAGGATGGAGGGAGTAGTCTAAATTAGCTCTAGTCTATGTAAATAGAAGGACTAATAAATGAGCTAATTTTTATCAAAGTCTCTAACTAGTTGTCAAAGCATCTTCAAGAGTCCTCTATTCATCTTCCTAGAGCTAAAATTAAAGTTTATGTAACAAAAAATCACTTCCAACAGTTCCCATATTCAACATCATATATGTAGTAGTATCCTAAATTATCCTCTCTCCCTTTCACATTTGATGTGTCATTGTCCCTCCTATATATCATTTGAGATAGGATAACGGTTGGAGAAGAGAAATATTTAGAGAGGATTTTTTTGTTAGAGTATACCCTATATGAGGATTTAGGGAATTAAGCTTAGGAGAATTCGTGGAGATGCTCTTTACGCAGGAGGGTATGCTAGGTATGCACTGGCATACCTTGTAGATCCAGCAAGTATAGAGTACATATACTTGTATATTTGTATTTGCATAAAAAGAAAACAGAAGAAACTCGCTTTGCAAATGGACGCTGCAGCCATGCGGCTTGCGGCTCCTTTCCGCTCACCAGCCGGGACGGCCTTTCCAATTTCCACGGTGACGCGACTTGCGGGCTTGCTACGGCCACACGATATGATTCCAGAGTCGAGACTCGAGAGGGCCCTACATGGTGATGCCTGCCTTGGCCGCATGACGGGATTTGAAATTTGGGAGTTTATGCATCGGACGCTGCCAGATAGACTATGGGAGTCTCAGCACGCCATCTCGAATCGATGAAACCGCACATCCGCTGCTGTGTGCTGCTTTTTGGTTGTGTAATAGCTTCCATCCTTTTTGTTTTTTTTTGTTTCATGAGCTTGAGCTCCAGCTCTCTTTTCTTTTTGCTCCTGTTTTGTGGACCTCTTTATTTTAATATATTTCCAGAGGGGCTGCCTCCTGCTCCCTCAAAAAAACACGTAGAGTCCCAACTGCCGGCCACCGCGATAAGATTCAACCTCTATGTTCTTTCTTTCTTCTTCTTCTTCTATATAGAAAAATCATGTCTAATGATATTGCTTCTCACATTGATGCATGCTTGTACCGGTGACAACGTCAATAGTTGAAAAGTTATTTTCTACAATAGTATGGCATTTGAACTATTTATTATATTGTAATTTGTGGATATTTTTAACTTAATTTTTGAATTTAAGACTTATCGTGTTATTTAGTGTATGTATACCGAATTATGTAGCAATTTTATACTTTTTATTGAATTGTCAAATGGTTTTGCCGACTTATATATGAAAATTTTTTGTCGGCATACCCTTAGGTAAAATCCTGGATCGGACACTGCTGTTGTGTGCTGCTTGTTGGTTGTGCATGTACGACTAACACACAGAGTCCCAATTGTCGGCCACCGCGGTAAGATTCAACCCCTATGTCTTCTTCTTCTTCTTCTTCTTCTTCTTCTTCTTTTCATGTCTAGTGGTATTGCTTCTCACATTGATGCATGCTTGTACCGTGACAATGACAATAGTTGAAAGGTTATTTTCTACAATAGTATGGCATTTGAACTATTTATTATATTGTAATTTGTGGATATTTTTAACTTAATTTTTGAATTTAAGACTTATCGTGTTATTTAGTGTATTTATAGCGAATTAGGTAGCAATTTTATTTTTTTTATCGAATTATCAAATGGTTTTGCCGACTTGTATATGAAAATATTTGGTTGGTATACCTTAGGTAAAATCTTGGATCCGCCACTGCTTTTATGTCAACTAATTAGCCAATACCAGCCAGGGACGGATCCAGCGGTAGGGTGGGCGGGGCTCTAGCCCCCCCCTACGGTCGCCGGACCCATGGAGCCCCCCCTTAGCCCTCTAGATTTTTTTGCCATGGATGCACCTTGAAGAGGGACTGAAGCAAGGGCATGGGGTTGAAGAAGCCCCCCCTATATATTTTCGTGTCGTCCCTGATACCAGCTAATTTTAGCTAATTGTTGCTCCAGCTAGTAACTAACCCAGTCTCATCCAAACCTAGAAGTATTTTAGGACTATAAAAAAAGAGTGCATGGCGCGAGTTTTTATGCTCATCATGCGTGATGTTCCACTTCCACCTGATCAACCGACATCCCACCCCAGCTGACAAGATGAGAGCTCAAAAAACTAATTGCACAGTTTGCTTTAACTTTGCGAGACGAATCTTTTGAGCCTAATTAGTCAATGTTTAGACAATAATTCACAAATACAAACGAAATGCTACAGTGGAGAATCATGCAAGGTGCAAACTTTGTGGAACTAAACGCTTCCCTGATCAACGACATCCCACCCGAGCTGACAAGATGAGAGCTCACTAGGTAGGGCCATTGCGCCAACCGGGCCAAGGCGCGAGATATTGCCATTATATTTGCGCGTGAAGTCGTGTGTATGGACACATCAATCAATCATCACCATTATAATCGAGGAAAAAAAAGTGTCCACCTCAGTCTCAGTCCTTGGCCGTTGTCCTGCGTCTTGTCTATGTGGATTTTGCAAAGTGTCGCCTTTGGCTAGTTGGTACTTTTTTTATAAAAAAAATGGTTTGATGGACGGAGTAGTACTCAGTTTTTGTGGTAGAAACCAAAATTGCTTATTAAATTTTCAGAAAAAGTCGCTTATTAATATGTAGTTTTTTTTCCTGCAGTGTAGTACGTAGATTTATCCTCATGTACGAATAGTGTACATGGCAGCAATCCCAGCTGGTGAACTGGAGCCTGCTCAGATGGTCAGTATCTCGTAGGATTGAAGTTGTCTTGTACCCGGCAAATGGCCAATGCATTTTTTTCTCTCCCCAATACACAGAAATGGCCGGTGCATTGATCGTGGGGGAAATGAAAATGAATGGACGATGCACAAAGGTGGGCACTGGTCAGTGATGAACATCAACACGAGGCTGCCCAGACGCTACAACTAGAACGATACAATGCAAAGTATTAATGCCAACGCGTTCCCCGCTAAACCTAACCTCTTTTCCGGATCAAGTAATGGAAACGGACCAGTACGTTCTCGCGTCCACCTCATCACAGGCCATCCTCCTCTTGCCTTCTTCCCGAAGAAAAAAAAGGACGAGCCCGTGAAGTGAAAACGATGCGCGCGACGTGGTTCTTGGCATTATCCATCGTTCATCACGTACTTCATTATCCAACAAGAGATCGACCGAGTAATTGCCATCTCCAGTACCATTGGATCATGCAAGAACTCGTCCATCGCATCGCATCTCATCCTGTCGGCTAACCGGGTCATGTTACCGCTTCAAAATCTGACCATCTCAATCTCATATAGCACGATAGTCGATAGATGTGTTTCCTTGTCCGTCTCAAGTCTCAACTCTCAGAATCTCACGTTTCTGTGAAGAAGGGGTGGCTCTCCTGCCTTTCCTCCATCAGTCCATCACATGCTGTCTGCTGCATAGATTTCCTTTTTTTTTTTCGTAAAGAAAAAGAGCGTTTGCACATGCGACAACATCCCGAGAAAAAACAGTGCTGCTTTGTGCTTGATCATTCAGCGATTCGAACCATTTATTTAGGGCTGTAAATGGGCCTTCACGCTTCAGTAGTCCGACATACTGAATTTTAGCAAGACATGAGCAGGCCTCTCTAGTGAGACTCATGTTTATTTATAATGTTTTTAAGGACGTTCATGGGCAAAGTATCTTCATTTTGTGATTTAACAGGCTGTAGTTGGGCCTCATGTGACAAGTCTACATGGGCCTTTAATGGCCAACATTTCTTTCAGATGGGCCTCAGTGATAACTGTTTTTTTTGGGAAGAGTGATAACTGAATTAATATAACCTCTAAAAAAACTAAATTAATATAAGTGCTTCTGTTTCATTCATATGACAATGTCAGTGGAGATCAGAACATAGCTTGATCGTTTATGTGGCTTATAAGCCAGCTGATGCTGTTTTGTTGTGAGAAAAAAACACTGTATCATGGCTGATAAGCATGGCTGATACGATCCAACGAACAGGGTGAAAAGAATGCACATCACTCCAGTCTAAATGACAAATAAATTTGAATCACAACAGGTTGTATGTACAGACACGGGCAATAAAGTTTATCCTGGCATGCTAAATATACCATCATCCAACTCTATAGTGTACACCCAACACACATCTGAGGCGCGTAAATAAGGATCTTGAAGACCAGTAAGCACCTCCTGCAAACCCACAGCAAATACGTATTGCAGGAAGAAAGAAACACCACATCTTAGGCCTTGGCATCACCTTTAGGTAGGCCAAGAAGAGATGGCCGGAAAAGAGACTGCCTCTGCGCCATCTCAATTCGTTCCCGTGGATCATACATTGATTCATCACGTATTGCCTGGAGGATGGAATTGGTCGTGAGCTCCCTGCAGGAGAAAGTTAAACAATTTAGGTGCCTGACATCACATTAGAATTTGTAGCCTAAAACTGCATTAACAGTGACTCAGTGAGTCTAAGTGCACCAGTACAAGTTTCCAACCTCTTGATCAAAATTTTGTATAGTGTTTTGAGTATTGGGCATAGCTCAACAGGAGCAACAGACTTCTTGGTTTCTGGATGCATCACGCTTAGGCTTCCCTGGCTCAGCAGTTCATAAAATGCATTGACTGCAGAAACACCCTAAATCACAGAAACGAATAAGGATCAGCATATAGATACCCCTATACCTAAAGGGCACCCGAGCAAACTTCACATTGTCAAGATGGCAGGTTGGCAGCACAAACCTGGATAGTCCCTTTGCCTTTGATGCTGTCCCCCATTTCTAGAGTCAGTTCTCCCTTAGCTAACTTCTGCCCATACCATGCATTGCGGCCTTTCAGCAGTGTGACATATGTATCAGCTAATAAGGGTCCTGCAAGTTTCTCGGGCTCTCGTGCTAGAAGATGGGTGATGTATATCATTTCAGAAGTGCAAAGTGAAAAGTATACTGATTTGCTGGTTGCACTCTCATTCGTAAGGGCCGCCACCATACCTGCATGGTAAGATCATGTTCAGCAACGTGATAGATATATTAGGCTCCAGAATAACTAGGTAGAAGTGGACCAAGAATATGGAGGCACTCTCCCAGGTCTAACATTCTGTTAATTACTGGATTTGGGTTTTCTTAATCTATGACATGAGAGCTTTGCATACTGTATTAACTACAGTGTGATTCTGTCTTGTTTGACAAATATAAACAACATTAGCCTGTTCGTTTGGCTGGGCTTGTTCGTTGCTGGATCGTGAAGAAGTACTGCTGGCTGGTTTGGTGTGAGAGAAAAATACTGTTCCGGCTGGAAATTTACGATCGTTTACGACAAGCACCAGCCAACCGAACAGGTATTTGGCAGAAACAACAGCATTGCAGCATTCAGTCAATGCAAATAGCATGCTTCATGAAACAGGGCAGGAAATACTGAACATAAGATAAGATGCCAAAATAGCATTTTTATCGGTTTGATGTTGAAATATGCAGTCATTTGACCAAGTATCTCATGAGAACTGGGAAAAGAGAGGAGCGAATGGAAATTCCATGTTTCTGGATCAAAAAACTTACCAGCCCCAATGGCATATACGTTTTTTAAGCCGCCCATGACTTCATGAGTAATGAGATCACTATTGTCCCATACAATGAAATGGGGTTGCCTCAAGAAATTTGCAAGAGGTTTCCTCCACTTGTCAGCTCCACATATGCGAGCATTCGCGTATTCTTTGTTATAAATCTCAGAAGCAATGTTTGGGCCTCCAAGATACAGAATGTTCTCCAACGGAACTCCAGCTGCAGTAAGAATCCATGATAAAAAACCACAAGCATAAACCAACAGTACAGTATACAGAATTGAGATAAAGAGCAGGGTGTTAGTTTCAGTTGGGTAAAATAGGCAACAGGTAGAAACCAGAACAAACAATGTTCAGTAATAATCCAGATGAACCCTGCTAAACTGTTTTTACATGTTCATAAGGGAATCAAGGACTGCAGAGCAAACATAACACATGGGCAGTCCCTTAGTGAGGGGACATTAACTAGCTCTCCATATAATCAACAGCAGGCAAATAATATAGTACCAACAGATAATCATAAAACATGCAATAAATATTATGAAGGACCATAGCCCATAGGTACAGATCATGATGATTATCCAGAAAATTTTATCAGGAACATTCCAGAGCTACTGTATCTTGAGCCAGTCGAGCAGCATTTAAATCTTCAATTAAATTTGTTAGCCCCACTTCGACAAGTATACAGAGTTACGAGATTAACGAAACTAGTCATAACTCAAGCATGAGAACATAGTACTGCTAGATCACAATCACAAAGAGACTTGAGCAAAGAACTCACTTGCATTGCTTATCATCTGCGTGGGCGTAATGATCCGGGGCACAGGGTCGAGCGACGCCTCAATCCCCTTTGCCAGCGAGATTATGAGCGGCTGGGTGATCCGCTCCTTCCAGTACCTCCCGATCTCCTCGAACACCTCCCTGGTCTCCGTGGAGGGCAGGCCGTTGACGACTATGTCGGCGTCCCAGACGGCCTCCTGCAGGTTGGTGACGACCTTGAGCGGGCAGAGCGGGGTGTCGAGCATGTTGAGGCAGAAGCCGTCCCGGAGGATCTCGTCGGCGTGCAGCGTGCGGTCCCCGAGCCGCGCCTCGACGTACTTGAGGTAGGCGCAGCGGCGGATGAGGCGGCGCAGCACGTCCTCGCGGGAGTTGATGACCTCGAAGAGGCGCTCGGCGTCGGCGCGGTCCACGGCGCGGCCGGCTCGGCGCCACACGCGCACCTGCACCCGGTCGCGGTGCCGGCCGTACGCGTCCTGCAGCAGCGCGCAGAACACGCTCCCCCACGCCCCGGCGCCCACCCCGACGACCCGCAGCGGGTCGCCGTCCGACTTCCCCAGCAGCCGCCGCAGCGCGTCCAGCTTCTCCTCCGCCACCAGCGCCGCAGCCCCGCCACCGTTCGCGTAGCTCCCCACCATGGCTTCACCCGCCAACACCCCCTCCTCGTCACAGCTCAGAACTCAGAAGCGAGGCGAGGCGAGCAAGCTGAACCGGGACGGACAGGCAGGCTGGCTGGCTCCAGGCTTTTGTTGGCGAGCCCAGGGAGGAAATGCGGGGTGGGTTTCGACGTTTCGTGGGGCGGTTTTGTGGGGGAATTTACATATTTACCATTATTAAGATCGTCACTCATCTGTTTCTCATCTTTAGGATGGCTCTTATAGATTTATTATCTTTAAAAATCGTGCGTCTTTGTTTTGCCACATTTGCTCGTCTGGCACGCCACGGCGACGTGACATGGTGGCACATAGTCAGCAGGGGGCAGCAAAATGACCTGCCTACCCCTGGCTATTTGGAAGAAGGGAAAACGGGCCGGCCCAGTCGCTCACTCGCCCATTTTCTCGTGCGGGCAACGCCGACGCCCGACGCGTTCTCTTCTTCCCCCGTGAACACCGTCGCCGCCTACTTCTTCTCAGTCCCCTTCTTCTCTAGCTCGCCCGCCGCCGCCACGCCTGTTCCCCTCCGGCTGTCCCTGAGCCATGGTTGCCGGCTGCTGCTCGCGACGGATCGAAGGTATGTGGCCCCTGCCGCCCCCTTTGCACCCACATTCCACGGCATTTAGGGTTAGGGTTCACGGGTGTACGCATGGCGGGCAGCCCGTCCTGCGTCCGCAAGCGCCGCGTCCTCGTTCGCGGACTTCTGGGGCGGTCGTATTCAGTCGCGTATGTGAGTGCGTCCTTTGACGCGGCGGCCGCAAGCCCGCAATCCTGTTTGTGGCCGCTGCCCGCATAGAAACGAGAAGCTAGAAACGAGAAGCTAGTGATTGGTTGTGTACGTCCGTGTTCATTTTTTAATTTACTTCACAAATTTTTCTAGTGATCCGTACGTTAGCTAAAAAATATACGTAAATTACAGAAAATACTATGTATCATTAGGAATATGTGTCTGATTTGTTTTACATTTTCCCCCCATTCATGAGCTATCAGAAAAAATGCAAGTTAGCATCTATCAACATACATACAGATAAAAAATCATATGCTGATGGCTGCTATCACTGCCTCGCCATAAGCTTTGAACAAGTCTGAGCTGGCTGCTGCTTTTTCATCCCCTCATATTTTGGTTCCGGCTCCGCCACTAATGGTTGCTCACTTTATCTCCATCCATTTTTTGCTTTGTATGATTCTGATGTAGTAGGTGGCGTCAATCAATCGAGGTCACAATGGCGAGCAGTGACTGCCCACCTTGGTAAGTGTTACCAACTTAAGGTGTGCAGTGGGTTGGATACTCTCTGACTCTGTATTTCGTTCATTGTGGTTGATTATGCCAGGATCGATCATGGCTCTGCATTTAGACTAGTTGTTAAAGTCGCTAAATATGTTGCTAATGGTGAGTATGGCCCAGTCGAGATGGCGAGCAAAGAACACGACTTATGGTTTGACAGAACAGTGAGTATACTCGCTTCGTTTCATGAGGATTTAGCCACTAGGATTATATGGGGCCATCTCAAACACTTTCAGTGTGGGTTCTTGACCAAGATACTGGGTCTGAGTGGAAGATTAGGAGAGATGAGCATTTGCAGCAATTGGTTAAGGACAGATGGGATGAGAGGATGGCTTTCATTGCAGTAGATGTTGTGAGCAAAGGTGGGTGTACAGACAAAGGTAGTTCTGCAGCAAGATGTGTCTCTGGTGTCACCGATGGGTCTCATGTTGGACCAAGTCATGTGCTGATGATGCTTGAGGGGTGTGGTGATACTTGTAGATCCCCACCAAAGACCCCCACTCCCTACTGAACAACCTATAACAGTTGATTGGAATACACTAACCATACCAGAGAATCCCGATGATGATGGCTTAGCTACACAGCTTGTTGATGAGGAACATGTATATGAGGCAATGGGATCCAAGGAAGTAGAGGCACAAGAAGCCGGCAGAAAAGAGGTTCACATTCCAGTTATCACAACAGAGATGCAAGCAGATATGAATGAAGCAGCTGTCAATGTTGATGACACAATTGATGCAGAGCCAATGTATGAATGGGATAGGGACAATCCAGATATGAGTGTTGGCACATGCTATCCCAAAGATGGATGAGTTTAGGCTAGGCCGTCAAAGCAAAGATGCTATAAGGAAGGAGTTTGAGCTTGATACTGAGCATTCAGACAAAGAAAGGTTCAGGGGTAAATGTGCTCCTTCTAGGCTGTCCATGGTTTATTAGAGCTAGAACCCAACACGATGACAGTGTCAGGGTATAAATTCTAAATTATTTATGAACCTGTTGTTTTTGTTTTATAAATCATATTACTCAGATTTTTACTCCTTTATTTGTGTTTATTGCCTTTGTTCTCGATGTTTTGTTCTGCTTTGCAAATGCGATACAAATCAATAAGGGGGTCCATAAATGTCCATCTACAAAAGGGTTGTGAATAAGATGGCATCTATAAGTTTGGGTGACGAGAGAGCAATTCCATTGCTAAAGAATAAGCCATCAATGGGGGCTACAAGTAAAAAAAAGGAGTTGAAGTACAAATATGACATTGAAATCCCCTACCGACAAAGTACAATGGGACAAAGAGAGCATCGACAAGCTATTTGGTAAGTGGAGTGATTCTTTCGATTGGTTGTATAGATTCAAGGCGTAGATAGAATTGAGATCACCTGCACTCGTGGTGGAGATAGACACTATCACCGATGAGGATGGTAAAGTTAGGTTTAGCGATTTTTTTCGTGCATTCAAAGCTAGTATAGATGGATTTGTGAATGGTCGCAGCCCTTATATCGATGTAGACTCGACAAATTCAATGGCTTGTGGAATGGCCACATGCCCGCAAAGACTAGCATTAGATGGCCACAATCTGGATGTTTCTGTGGCCTTTGGTTTTTTGACTCGAGACAAAGGATAACTGGTCTGGTTTATGGAACAACTTAGAAAATCCATAGGACCCATGGAAAAGCTTGCTATTTGACTTTGATGCATGCAAGGGGTTAGAGTCAAGAAGCTAAAATAGTGTTTCCACAGTTGAGATGAGAGAATGTTTTAGGCACCTAATGGAAAACATGAAGAAGTACTACAGTGATGATGTGTATGGGAAGAATATGTGGCCTGCAGCAAGAGCTTATTCAGCACACAAGTTCAAGTTCTTTTTTGACAAGGTCTTGGCAGCCAGTCCAGATGTGTAGAAATGGCTGACAGAGCACCATCCCTTTCTGTGGGTAAGAAGTAAATTTTGTGATGACATCAAATGTGACTACATCAACAACAATTTAGCAGAATCTTGGAATGCTTGGATCAAAGAACACAAGGACCTGCCTGTGCATATGATGGCTGATGCTATTAGAGAGAAGATCATGGTTTTGTTTGCCAAAAGGAGAAAGATTTCTACAGCCCTGTCTCCTGGTATATTACAGGCTGTCATCCATCAACTTAATGCAGCATCAAGAGGTCTAGGACACTTGAACATTTCTAGTGGCCACCCTAATCAAGCTAAGGTTACAGAGGTCTACAAGGATGAAGAAGTTCGAAGACATGTTGTTTATTTATCTCAGAAAATATGCACATGTAGACAAAGTGATGGATAACCGGTAAACCATGTCCACATGCCTTGGTACAGATTACCAAAGATGAGGCAACCTGACATGGGAGCATTTGTACACCACTACTACTCGAAGGCAAAAGTTTCAGAAAAGATATGCAGCATAGTTCCTAACATAACTGATAGGAATCAAGGCCCGAGGTGGACAAGGGCTTCAAGTGTACCCTCCAAAGACGTAAAAAGAGAGCGGTGTAGGTGAGGAAGAATAGGATTAAATCAGCAAGGGAGGCAGGTGGAAAAGCTACTAGGCAAGTCAAGTGCCCTAACTGCAATGAGTATGGTCATAGGGGTGGTAGCTGGAAATGTTTCCTCACTGGAACCAAGAAAATGTGATTTCTTAACTCATGTATTTAATTTGTTTACTAGCTGTTGTAATTACTAACTTGTTTTATTATTGTTGAAAGAAAAGAACCAAGAAGAGTAATGTTCAGGTTGGGAGGAAGAAAGCAAACAAAGGTGATGCTGGTGATGAAGCAGACACTCCAAGAACTAGAAGAGCACTAGCAAGGGAAGCTACAACAAAAGCAAGGAGGGATGTTGAAGAAGCTGAACTCAAGGCTGCGGCAGCAAGACAAGCAGCAGAAGCAGCAGCTAGGGAAGAAATTGAGGCTACAAGAAATGAGTTATCTGCAACTCATGCACAGGAAGATGTCCTGGAAGCCTTGGCTTTAGAAGTTGATGTCCCAGAAACTACAAAAGCTAGGAGGTATGCTATTGAGTCTACAAGTAGGAGTTCATGTCGCTTGCTGTACCATGACTTTTATTGTTTTGAACATGAACCTATTCTCAGAAGATGAACTGCAAATTGAGCCTGTCAAGAAAATGACACCTAGGAAGAAGAAGTTGACAAAGAAAGTGAGGAAGAACTAAGGATGAACTGGGAACTTAAGATGAACCGGAACATTGCTTTTATTTTGCTAAGAGCTTGAACTCTTGATAATATGTGTAATTGGCCAGAACTTTTATTTTGCATGGCCTTCTATTGTAATCAAATGGGCATAACTATCAGCATGCTGTCGTGTGTAATGGGCAAAGGCCAAAAACTCTATATGTATGGCCACAATGTGCCCCTATTTGGTTGTCAGAAACAAGTACTTTATGTAGTGATCTTAATTTTCCATAGCTGATGTGCCTATCTTATTTGGTTGTCATATGTGATACTACGTAATGTGCCTCTATTGGCCCCGTTCGTTGGTCTGAAACTTGGCTAAAACTGGCTGAAAAACAATGTTCTGGCTGAATTGTTGTGAGAGAAAAACACTGTTCCGATTGAAAAAAGAAGCCGAATAAGTCAAATATGGGGTAAGCCGAACATGACCATTACTTTGCATGAACACAATGTGCCTCTCTTATTTTAGATGGCCACAATTTGTCTCTCTTAATTAGCAT